ATCATGGAGAAGCATCTACATTGATGAATCATTCACCATATAGGGAAGCGTGAAAGCTTTAAATGAGAGTTGGATCCCAAAAGGAACAACCTCCTGATTCTCCAAGGCATACATCATATGCCTCCCATGACGAAGCTCAACATCATGAGAAAAACTCCTATATGGATGAACCATCCACCAAATAGAAAAGTATGGGCTCCTCAGAGAAGAGTTGGATCCCAAAAGAGACCACCTCCTAATTCTCCAAATCGTACATCATCAGTCTTTCATGATGAAGCTGAACGTCATGGAAAAGTATATGTATGGATGAACCATCCACCATGTAGGGAAGAATGGGTGCTTCGGAGAAGAGTTGGATTCCAAAATTCTCCGAAGCATACATCATATGCCTCTCATGATGAAAATGAACGTCATGAAATAAGTCTCGCATGGATGAATCATCCACCATGTAGAGAAGGATAGGTGCCTCGAAGAAGAGTTGGATCCCAAAAGGGACCACATTCTAATTCTTCGAGGTGTCCATTATATGCCTCCCATGACGAACCTGAACGTCATGGAAGAAGTCCTTGCATGGATGAATCATCCCCTATGTAGGGAAATTCTACAAAAATCAAGTTATTGAGCTTCGGTCTAGCAATCCCAGTTGTGCAAGAGGTCAAATCATAATGGAAGTTCATTTATATTTTCAAATCTATTATGTCTACTTTAGATTAACTTGAAAGTTCAACTATGCTGATGGTTATCAGAAGCCTATGAGGGTTACTGTGAGGTCCACAACATTGCAGGTGGCTACATAATCCTGCCACCCCTCAATCTAATATTTGTAAATGTTTACAGTAGCAGCTTGGACCTCAGCAGGCAGCATATCCAACACTACAGAGGCAATCGCCTCATCCTACCAAACAAAAAGCTTCCCTGACTTCCCAGGGGTCTCACAGTAGAAGTCTTCTCAATTTCCTCAAATGTCTGTTCAACCTCTTTAGCAACCTCATCACTAGCTTCCCTGGCCCTTTGATCCTTCGCAGCTAAAAAAAAAGACTGTATCAACTTAGCAGGTGGGTGTGGGAGCTGAGGCAGTTGAGCAACCGAAGAACTAGATGTGTCAAACATCCCAATATCAAAGCAAGTTGTGTAAGAGGTTTTCATTTTCTTATGAGGCTCCTCCCTTATTTTTTCTTTCGCTTTCTCCTGCGGTACCTCCTTATCACTCTTCTCAACATCCTCATTGCTAATGCTCTCCAACTTTTCTCTAACATGCTTAGTAGCACTAGAGGAGGGCTTTAGAGCCCTGGAATTGACCATAGAGGTGGCCCTCGAGATAGAAGCCATGTCAAGGGTTGAATATTTCTTCACAATAGTAAAATTTTAATTTGACTAATACAGAAGCAACAAAAAGTAAGAGCTTCGACATTTATCTCTGGAAGCCATCAGTTCGAAGTCCAGAAAGAACTTGTTACGGTCGATGAGGTGATCGAAGTGACCTTTGAGGATGCTTGTAAATGTCCTCGAAGACATCCCACTTAGCTTGAATAGCTCGAATCGATACCCTGAAATTGCACAACAAACAACATTAGTCATAGTCATTAAAATAAATTGACAAGTTCAAAGGAAAACTACTCACGAACTTCAGAATATTAGGTCGGCATGGTGGCAACTGAGACCTTATCTCCCTCGAAGATATGCCATCTACCCCTCACCCAAAATCAAGATTCCTTTTACCCGTTGATAGGAGAAGACAGACCTATTACGATGGGGGCATGGGCTCCCCAAGGGGTCATATAGTACAACCCCTTCTATTTTCTCTTCCCTAGTTTAAGGATTGAAAAATCGTTCGAAAGGGGTACAGAGGCATGTCTTCATCAAGTGAGGTCTCCTTCCAAAAGAAGTAAGCCCTTACTAGGTGAATTAGCTTATCGACTAGTGATTTGTCCAAACGTGTTGAAATTAGCTTATGTGGACACGAGTACTCAATATCATTTGTCCACCCGTGTATACATAATTCGAGGTCAACAATATCGTTGGTGGTAGCAAGCGAAATTAACCATGACTTCTGAACTCAATTGATACGTATTCTTTAATATGGATCATAAACCAAACTCCAACGATACTGTACCAAACTCAAAATCTACCAAGTCCCTAACTTTTGCTGATTAATATCGAAAGATTCTATGGAGCCAGGCAAGACATATAAATGGGACCTTCTCTGTCTGTCCTGTAAGACATACAAATGGGGAAAACATATAAATGGGACCTTCCATGTCCCATCAGCACGAGCGATCACCTTTACTAACTTTCAAGACTCCACCTGCACAAGTGTACCTATACCCTTTTTTAAGTCAAAAGTACTCAAGTAGATAAGATCTCTCTTCAAATTAAGGACATCTCACATTATCAAGTGTCGGACAGTCCATCAAATATCTTTACTCTAATCCTTCCAATACTAGTTATCCTACAAAGTTGATTACTTCTAATTACCACAAATCCTTTGAAAATAGTTCCATATGTTGAGAACTAATCATGATTAGGACATATATGAAAAGCGAAAGTTGTACAAAGAATCCAACCCTCGTCACGTTTGGATTCGTCGTCAGAAATAACTAAAAGCTCTCCATCTTTGTAGCAATCTTCTACAATTCTGGCTTCACCTGGAGTTTCTGATTGTTTTTTCTTCTAACTTGCAGTAACTAACTTTCCATCTGCAACTTATAACAATCTTTCCTAATGTGCCCTCATCTCTTGCAATAATTATAAACTTTATTACTATAACTTAACCTTAATATACCCCTCACATTATCACCATTAGAAACAATGTCATCTCCATGAGCCTCAAATCCGACAAGATGTTTCATCTTTCTCTTTGAAAGTAGAGCATCATAAACTTCTTCAATGGTCAAAGTATCACGTCTGTATAAGCTAATTTCAATGAAAGACGTGTATGAAGTGGGCAGCAAATACAATAATATCAACCATAAATTCTCTTAATCATACTTGACTTCCAAGGTAACTCCAAGGTCTCAAAATTAGCGATGATTTCCTTAAAAACAGATAGGTAATTTTCAAGTGATGTACATTCTGTCATACAATAAGACTACAGGCGTTGCCTCAGATGTAATTTGCTAATTAGACTTTTAATTATGCATAACTGCTCCAATTTCAACCATAATACATTGGTAGTTTTCTCCTCTAAAACGTCCTGAATAATATTATTTGAAAAATGAAAATGTATCTTTGATAGGCCTTTTGACCCCTATGTTATCTCTCATCCATACTCCAGTTGAGGGCATTTTGTCAAATTCCAATAACACATCATCTAGATCTATCTAAGGGAGCACTACTTCTGTCTTTACCTGTCAAAGCTAAAATGTGGTGTTGCGATCAATCAATGGAATATCATACTTCGTAGTTGTCATTACAAAAAATAGATTTCGAACTGAGTTGATTCAACCTCATTCTGATACCACTTGTTGAATAATTACACACCGAACTGGTACCACTTAATTAGTAAATAAAGAAACGAGTATAATATGACAATATGAAAATAATAATTACAGGAACATAAGATTTACGTAGTAAAATTATACCACGGGCAGAAGAGCAAAATTTATTAATATCAATAATGGAGAATTGCAAATTATTATGTAGAATTTAAGGATTTTTTTTTTATAGAGGTTCACTTGTCATATATATAGTGCAAGAAGAGCCTTAGATGTGGTGGAGTTCAACAATAACAAATCTATACAATAATTGAGTGTTGGGAATAAAATAAGAATCATAAACTGCTGAAAAAGGCGAACAGGTTTTTTTCGAATAAGATTGATGCTTGAACGACGATCTCGTGACTATCGAGCGGTGGTGGCCACTCGAGTGACCTCCTCACAGACATCGAGTGCCAAAACTTTTGTTTTGGATGCTCGAGCGAGACCATGGCCCATTGCGAGTGCCAGCTCTTCGTTTCCTTCTTCTTGCATGATTTCTTCTTCTCCTATTATAAATTGGACTCTTTCAAGTGTTCTTCAAGTCCAATACATATTCTGAAATCCCAACATAACTCCTAAATTAAATTCTAACTAGAATTCACAAATAGGTTTCAAATAGTCTTTCAAATAGAATTCGGGTCACACTCTAATTCTAATAGTGGACGTACTTAGGATATTGTGAGAACAATATTGTCACTCAAAGCGCAAAGGGTAAGAAACAATTTTTTTATTACTTTTTTTTTTTTGAAAACATCGAGAAAAAATAAATATTTTTTAATCTTAAACTTGCTGCATAGAAAGAATAGGAAAAGACCATATAGAAATTTTTTAAATTTAAAATGATTAGTCGATATGGTCTAGGAATCTATTCTAACTCTCAACGAATTCGTAGATCACAGTCGAAATTATGTATCTACTTATCGTATTTTTGGCCCTCCTAGATTGATCCAATCAAATCATAAATGGCTACAATCTTGAGAAACATCAATCTCAAGGTGTTCTATAGGCCAGTTATGAGACGCATTACATTCTATTATGAAGTCCACACTCCCACACACAAATATATACGATATAGAACCAAAGTAAACATGAAATTGGAATTAACGTACTTCTTTGAGTCAAATATAAATTTTAACCTAGTCCCTTTACTAAAGGGAAACCAATACAAACGTGTCCCTGATCTTGATTCATATGTTACCATATACATGCACAATGTCTTCAGCCCTTCCATTCAAAAACTCCCAAGGCGACTTACAATATATACGACCAAATTCTTTTCACTCAAAATAGAAGAAGATCAAAACTGTTCAGTTGTTAATCCATACATTACAGATGAGTCATCTAGTGCTCCCAGAGGCAGAGATCGTAGCCAATGATGGATCTAACGCAAAGCTGCCAACAAGAAACTCTGCAGTTCTGTAGCAGATGCTAGGAATTTTAGGGAAGCCCACAAAATCATGGTCTGTGTTCAAAGTGCTTTCAAGATTTTCTCAAAGAAAAGATAGCCAAATCTGCAGAAAAAATATGCTTCAAGAAAACAACTGCTTCCCCCCCTCCTCCAGCCCCTCAGTTTCGACGAATTCGTTAATTGATCCATTGGTTGATGCGACAAATTCTCTAACACTTAATACCCAAACTAATCCTCTTCCAATTGTGAAGAATAAATGTAAATCTTGCAACAAGAAGATTGGATTGACAGGGTTCGATTGTAAATGTGAGGGAAGTTTTTGTGGGATGCATAGATATCCAGAGGCACATGCATGGAAGTTTGATTACAAGACTCCTGCTAGGGCTGTTCTGATGAAGGAAAATCCAGTCTGTAAAGGAGATAGACTCGTGGATAGGGTTTGATTTCAAGAAGGTTCAATGTTCTCGTTAAATTTGTTCATCCTAGGAAATAGGAACATCCTTATTCAATTAGCGTCGAATTGAAAGTGAAAAATTAAATCTTATAGAAACAAAAATTTGTGTCATAATTAAAGTTCTCTGTCAGTCTGTTGTGAAAGATTTTCATAAAAGTCTACACAATTTATCACTTGTTAGCAAATAAAAATTATTAGAGAATCTTATTACATTTTATTTTATATTTTTGCTCGCTTTTTTTACCAATGGTATCTCAAGAATTTCCAATTTTTAATAAACCAAATTGTTTTATCTAGCATATCACGAATAATATATATAATCCAGTCATTAAAGGAGATAGATCTGTGAAAGAGTGTTGGTTGGAAATGGTGGTTGTGGTGGTGGCCGAAAATGGTGGTGGTGGTGGTGGTGGTGGTGATAGTGATGGCAGCAATGGTGGAGGCTAGAACGACAATAGTCGCATCACATTCTGATAGAATCATTGGCCTTTTTCTGAAACAACACGAAAGCTCCATATGGTGATTTCCCAGGCACGATAATCCCAATCCCAATCCTTATCCTTCTTCGTCAGCTCAGTAAGTGGTAATGCAATTTCTGAATACCCTTTCACAAATCTTCGGTAGTAATTGCATAACCCGAGAAATGACCGCACATCGTGAACATTTTTTGGTGGTTACCAATCTTTGATGGCTGCAACATTTTTTGCATTCATGCGTATCTTACCTTATTTGATAATGTGGCCCAAAAAATTGATAGACGCTTTAGCGAATGAACATTTAGACGGCTTGGCATACAATTTATTCTCTCGCAATCGATTGAAAACCTGCCTTACATGTTACACATGTTCCTCTAATATCTCGTTGTAGATTACTATGTCGTCCAAGTACACCACCACAAAATCATCCAATAACCCGTGAAGTACCTGATTCATCATAATACAAAACGTTGTTGGAGCGTTTGTTAAGCCAAAAGGCATCACCTTAAATCTAAGGCTCCATATCTTGTTACCACCGTGGTCTTTGCTTCGTCTCCCTCCTTGATCCAAACTTGCCAGTATTATAATCTGAGATCAATCTTCGTATAGTGTCTCTCCCGGCTTAGTCGGTCGAAACAATCGGTGACTAGCGGAATAGGATAACCATTCTTTAAAGTGATCTTGTCCAGGGTCGATAGTCGCAGCACATTATGAGAGAACTATCGGCCTTTTTCTGAAACAACAATGGAGTTCCATATGGTGATTTCGCAGGCACGATAATTCCACTTTCCAGCATTTCTCCCAATTGTTTCCGAAACTCGTCAAGCTCCGGCTGAGACATATGGTAGGTTTGGCACCTAGAATATGCTCAATCTCATGATCGATTGCCCTTCTTGGTGGCAACTTTTTTGGTAACTCTTCCGGCATGATGTTCTCAAATTCCTTGATAAGCCTTCTGACCGGCTTTGGAATAGGACCAGTTACCTCATCGATCTCCTCTAATCGAAGAGTGCACAAAAATGAAGGTTCATTTCTTTTGAAACCCTTACGAAATTGCATGGCCGAGATACTCTTCTAGCCCATCTTTCCGGCTTGTGTCGTGATGACGCACGGTTTACTATCCATCATAATTAATGAATCGGTGTATGGCAGCACTGTTGTCTTAGTGTCCCAGAAAAACTCCAATCCCAAAATAAGTTTGAAATCATCCATTTGAACTGCAGACAAGTTTGTCATTCCCTCGAAAAGACCTGTTTTGATTTACACTGATTTCGCTACTACAACTATTGGTTGAGCAATGGAGTTGATTGCTTTGACCTTTCTAATACCTTTCTCCAGAACAAGTCAGAGTCGCTCCACTTCGATACTTGCGAGGTAGTTGTGAGTAGCACTCGTATCCATCATAACCCTGATTAGCTTTCCATTGATCTTTGTTCGCTAAATTAATATACCGCAAGTGCATGGGTCTCATTCAAGTAATAAAGTTGACCTTTTAAATCTGGGTTGTCGATTTCTCGAGGAATGTTTACTTCCGATTACACAATTTTAGTCAATTTAATTTTAACAATAAGAACAACACACAATAAAATTTGATTTTGGAAAATATGATAAATTAACTAAAAATCTACAAAATAAGAAAACGTAAACACTTGAAAAGTTTGGAGGAAAATGTTATTGGGATTCATGATTTCGTTTAACCGCCACCTAATTACTTTCTCGACAAGCCAATTAACAAATTACTCATTTACGATGTTAGACCCGTTTTCCAATTTTATCTAATTACCTATCTCAAGTGAAATTAACCATAATTGATTAATTTGACTTACTATGTCTCCATGTCGATTAAAACCAAACAATTGCATTAAATCTTAGTGAAAATAGCTCAATGGATCACCTAGGATTAGAAGTATATCTCTATCATCTACACAAACCTAGAATATTTACTATTTGGTTTAAAATGTATAATCTTCTCTCGAACGATGTACAAATCACTAAATTCAATCATTTAATGGCCAAATAAATGAAAAACATTCAACACAATAATAAATACACATGAAAACAAGCATTTTAACATTAAAAGGCAAAAATTGAAATCAATCTAAGTTATGTTAAGTTTCCACCATAAATCCCAACAATAAAAATTAGCCCATGTTATATAAATGATAACAAATGAGAATATTTATCCAATACAATACAAATGATAGAAAATAATAAAGAAAATACAAGATTAAAAATAAAACCCGTTTTGGATGGATTTGCTTGAATCTTGATTTTCCCAATTTTCTTTGATTTATCCTCCTTGTTTTGCTCTAGATTTTGACCTCAAAGTACTAAGAAAAAGAAGAGAAAAGGAAAGGAAAATGAAAGAAGAAAAAAGAAAGAGAAAGAGAAAGAAGAAAAATAAAAATAAAAATATGAGAAAGCTCTGCCCAACTTTTCCCCATTGTACCGTGTAGGGTTTTCAAATTTTAAAACCAATTTCCCACAAATTGCAGCCCAAGTCCCTAAGATAAATGCATGTTAGATCCCTCAACTTTGATCTTATATAATTTGGTCCTCAGATTTTAATTTCATTCCGATTATGCCCTCCATAAATTGCATCAAAGATCCTTCAACTTTATGATTTCACTTTGGTCCCCAAATTTACAATTTTGCACACTTTTAGTCCTTTTTCCTCATTTTGTCTTTTTCTTTTTCAATTGAGTGATTTTTACCTACAAAAGCAATAATTGAATGATTGTAAGTATAAATTCACTCATTTTTATCAATAATAAACATGTTTAGGTATTAAATAAGTGTGCAAAAATACACTTATCAAATACCCCCAAACTTAAGCTCTTGTTCGTCCCAAACGAGATTATCTACTAACACAATCAAGAAATACATGATAAAGATTAACAACATTAGATATCTTGCCATAATAATCAATGAGTGTAAAATTGTATAATCATTTCACAAATATGCTCCAAATAATGCTAGTAAAAATAATTTAGGCTTATCCAATATTCAATCGGTGTGTGTGTGCATAGCCACTTTCTATCATTATCTATATTATGAAAAAGTTGTCAAGACTGAAAAATTTTCAAATTGATTTCAACCCGTCCCTTTATGGTCAAATATTTCATTTCCCGCTAATGAGATTCACACTCCTTAAATAAATTTATTTTCTTTTCCCAAATGTAAATCGAAATGTCACTCTCAAGTCACTCATTTATTTTCCCATTCTAGTTTGGTTGGGCATAACTGGCAATGTCAAAAATCTATTCATGTGATGATTCTCCACTAGATGAGTGCTTAAGCATTTAAGCTTATACTAAGTAATTCGAACCCACTAATTATCTAAGCCTATACATCAAATACAATTGCACAATTTCATCAAAATTTTCAATAAAAGCTCATGATTGATCCACTCCTTTAAACTTTCTTATTGACCCTTGTAGGGAGTTTTAGGTCGATAACTCTCCAATTGTTTAGACCAAAGGGTACCAAATTTTGAGATACCCCAACGGACTTAATAACTCGAGTCAAAAGGTCTACGAAGTGAGGCAAGAATCAACAAGTGCAATGTCCCTTTTTAGCATCAATAATAAATAGGGCTTAGATCCCTATCATATGGTCATTACCTAGTTTATTCTTAGCAAAAGACACTCCACACAATTTTTTTTCAACATGCATGAAATCAACACACTTCTAGAAAAATCCTTCACCAGCTCGACCACCCCCAAACTTATCTCACAATATGGTTAAGTGAAAGAGAAGGTAAGATTGATAAAAATTTAAACACAACTCACAACCTAGTTCTTATCAATTCAAAAAAAAATCTATCCATCAATCAAAAAATTTCACATCTAAATAACAATTAATTATGACCATTGTGCTCAATGTAACTTAGGATCTCACGTGGATAAGTAATTTTTGAAAAATTTAGACACGAATAGCATATTTGGTCATAGCTCATGAATCGACAATTTTAAACATCAAAACATCACAAGCCGACAAAGCTATCTAACATATCAACACAATATCATCAATTTAAGCACAATCACCCCCAAACTTAAATCACGCATTTAAAGTACAAGATAAAAGAGAATGGGAGATAACAAAACTTCCCTGGTTGTATATTTGGTGAAGAGGTATCAATGCTCTACTTGGTCTTGTGCTTTTAATGAACTTGGGCAAATGACCTTCTTGTACACAATTTACCCCCAAACTTATGAGAAACCATAAATATGTGGGACTTCAAAAATTACCTACAAAAACAATGATAGATAATCAAATAAAAATAAGAAAAATACATAAAATTAAATAAAAGATTAAAAGTTAGAAAATTGGGTTGCCTCCCAATAAGCGTTTTTTTAGTCTTTAGCTCGACTTTGGCAATTGACTCATGGGCACATAAAGAAAGCTTTGGATGCCCTGCCCATTATTTTTCGTCTGACTTTGATCCACTCTTTATTTAGTCTCCAAACCTCAACATTGCCCATTTCCATATAATAAGACTTGTCTATTCTAT